ATTGGTGTGAAAAACTGAGCGGCGTGTCCTTTTCCAGCAAAACAGCCACTTCAAGATCTTTTGGGCAGATGAAAAACATGTCTTTCTTATCCCATTTTGCTACCCAAAGCCAAACTCAAATTAAAAAAAAAATGAACTCCAGCCAGTAAATACACCCACGATGGCACTATCACAAAAAAAAGTCAAGACATCAAAACTTTTCTGAATTTTCCTTTTTAAAATTAATTGTCTCGACAATAAATGTGGTTAATTCTTCATTGTAAGTGAAGCGAAGAGTGGGAAGCAGACAAGATACAGAGATAATGTTCCCCCTTCATGTAATATGCAAGGGAACCCCAAGTACACTTATTCATGAACAAACCTCACTATGTTTAGAGCAAGCTATTTCCCCCTGACATGTTTTTATGCCTCTCTTCAGATTCTCCTTCTGTCTCTCGGTACTTTAGCTGCTGACACCCTAATACAAAGCCCTGCTATGAAAATATATGACACATCCAACAGCATTTTGGAGAATGGGTGAACAAATGAGATAATGAACTATGCTGAAATACTATCCATGAAAATCGGTCAATTTGCTGATTATATTTAATTTAAAAAATAAGTTTTATTCACAAATGATTGAATAAAGAAGGCCCCCAGCTTTCCCCAAAATGGCAACAAAAGAGAGAAGTTTAAATTTATTTTATTAAAGGAAAGGAACAGTGCATCAGCATTATGGAAAACAACCTAGATATTGATGCATTAATTCACCGGCAGTGTGTTTATGCTGCAAGAGTGGTTTAAAAGGGAACCTCTTCAGAAGTTGAGAAAAGTTACTTTTGGGGTAACTCCTAGAATCCCCCGGGCACACGCTCACATTGGCTTGGGAATTCTGGGAATATTTTAAAAAGTAATGTTCCCAACTGGTCCTGTTGCCCTTTGCTCCAGACAAGTTACTGCTGCAATAAGCTAACTATACTTTCGATTCTAGTCCTGAGCATTATAACCACATCTTTCCTGAGCCAATCCACATGGCCAAAGGGCCATGGAGAGAATGTGAGCCATAATGCAGAGTTGAGAATATTAAAAGCTCAGCTCATCATTTAAAAACACATGTTCTGTGCCATTCTTGGCCAGCACACCTAGTGGTGAAGAATTCTGGCAGATTTTTTTTCTAGGAACATCTGGGGACCCAAAGTTGGGAGCCATCGCTCTAGAGCAGAGGTGTCCAACCTTGGCCCTCCAGATGTTCTTGGACTCCAACTCCCAGAAATCCTGGCCAGCAGCGGTGGTGGTGAAGGCTTCTGGGAGCTGTAGTCTAAGAACATCTGGAGGGCCAAGGTTGGACACCACTGCTCTAGAACAAAGGGAGAGAAGATAGGAGGAACCAGTCCACCACCTCTAATGGGATATGAAGTGTTAGTCCACCACCTCCAGAGATAAAGACTAACCAATGAAAGCAATAATTTCTTGTAATGAATTACTTTTTACCTTTATAACAAAGGTATACAAAAGTAATGTAACAATGCAGTACATTACACAAAGTAATGGCAAAAATCAATTTGGTGTAATGAATATTTTTTTAAAAAACAAAACAAAACTAGAATACATTATTTATAAAGGATGTTCTTAGGTATTTTGAGGACTTTCCCCCCAAGTTTTATGTGATTTTCTTTTAAATGATCCATTATATTTGAAAGATGAGTGAATGGCTTGTTTGTTGTGGTGGGATTTCTACACATCAAGTTAAGCTTTTCCTACTCACATTTCAGTCTCTAGAGCTCTACCCCTCTTCGCTTGTATCTGTCATCTGTATTATAGAAAGATCTCTCTGTCTATCTGCGTTGGTACAATGAGAATGTATCAGCTCAGCTCACTGGGTTTTCCTGAGTGATCGGATGGGACAGTAATGCTTTTCTTTTGACATTCACTGCCACGTTCTTGCTGAGCCGCTCTGTCCATCGAAGAGCGTGCCCTTCCGGAGGAGATCCTCAGGCTGAGGGTTGGTGGTGATTCACATGAGAACCACAGTGCCAGCTCATTCCTGGCTGGGTAATGTTGTCACATGCTGACAGTCCTGCCCACCCACACACAGGCAGTGTGACAAAAAAAAAATAGGCCTTGAGGCTGGCAAAACGGCTGAATCCAATGAGCAGAAATGAGATCCTCTCTAGTATAAAAAGCAAACAACCCCCCCCCCAAAAAAAAGAATGGAACATGACTACTTTTCACCAGCAAAGTTGGCATCTCCTGTGTTGCAGGAGAGCACATTTCCCAGATGTTGGATGAAAGCTCTAACCAAGGATGGAAGAAATAAAATGCCAAGCATTTCCTATATTGTAAGCTGTTTTGCAGTGGAAGAAAGCTTGGGAAGTGCTGATTTTTACTACTACGAAAGGACAGGTTGCATTTGTCGAAATATTATTTTCGACACCGCAGGTGGCCTCCTAAGGCTCAGTAGGGATCAGTGTTGTTACTGCTGTTGCCGAAAAGACTCCTGATGATTTGGATTACCCCTCTGTTGACATTCCCCCATGCTGCTATCCCTTCCTAAAAGCTTCTGAATGATCCACCTTGCAAAAGCAATTCCCAGAAACTCCCAGAGGAGTAGCTGCATTTGTTTGTTGCCTGTTATTGCAAAACCCACAAAGGCTCCTGTCGCACCTTATAGGCTAGCATGTTTTACTTGATAAAAGCTTTTAGGGAATGGATCCCACTTTGCATCTGAAATCCTTGTCTACCTTGCATCTGAAATCTGCACGTTGCATCTGATGAAGTGGGCTGCAGTCTGCAAAAGCTTGTCCCAATTAAAACGTCCTGAAAACAGGACTCTTGGTTGCCTTTCTGCAGTTCCTTTCCTAGTGAGCTCCAGGATCCATAGAAGGCCAAGGCACTTCCTACACAACTTGGTGCCCTCCAAATGTTTTCAGCTACTTGGTCCACAATCCCCAAACATTTCTCAGGCTGACTTGTGCTGATGGGAGCTGTTCTCCAAAGCATCTGAAGGGCAGCATGTTGGCTACCAATAGTCACAGCTCCTGTTGATTAAGGAGTGGTGTCGTTCTGCTTCCCTTCCCTTCTTCCCTTGTTTTTCCTCCTTGTTTATTTGATGTCTGTGTACGTGCATCTGCTTGCTTTGTGAGTCTGTATGTGCAGTTGAACTAACAAATTGCTGTAATGTAGACTCATGGTTAGTTGCTGATAAACAGGTAGGGTTACTGTTTGCATTGGGAAAAGGTGGAGGGATTCATCTATAGTAGTTGCCATTATTATTCTGTATTGAAAAACTAAGAAGAGAAGGACTCAAGGGTATCATGGCTCAGTGGAGCTCATTTTCACCTGTCTGCTTGCACTGGGTGTGTATGTGTGTTCCAAATCATGTCCCTTTGAGAATGAGCTGAATCATCAACCTTTCCTGCCTCCATAGCCAACACTCCCATTGTCCTTTCAAAGACTAATATTTTTTCAGGAACAGTTATCAGGGGCCACCAGATGGGATCCATTGCTTCTATTTTACTCTGTCTGCTCTCACAGTAGTGCCCCCAAACTAACATAACCTTACCTCCAGGTCTTCCTCTCACTCTCTTCTCCGTCTGCTCCTTCCTCCCATAGGCAGAACGTTTATCATTCTAACCTAGAGAGTGATACATCCTACTTTCAGCCAGCACCCTCTTGCATAGCTAGACCACCATGGTCTTCTTGGATCAAAACACAGTTCGTATTTCCAAACAGCAGAAACTGGAACTGATTAGCAGTCCCTTTAGACCTGGGGAAATCCAGTTAGGCTACCAGCATTTGCAAAGGATGGAGGATGGACTGGACTTCATCTCACCCTTTTTTGCATCTGAAGACTCATCTGATGGGTCCATACTCAGCTCTCACTGAACCCTTACTGCACCATTACTCCTCTCGTTACCCTCTAAACATACACTTCATTCAATAGACTTAAAACTGCTTCCTTTAATACAGAGTCAGCAGCTAACACTTCAGATTTCCTTACCGTTTGCTGCGCGAATTTGTTTCTGCAACAACAAAAGCAAACAGTGGAAGAAATCACTCAATCAAGGAAGCCCCAGCCTTGAGTCTATTAACGATAAGGGTCACCATACACGGGAGGCAATTCGGTGGCCCAAACAAAGCACCTTGCACAGTAACAGGTTTATTTCATGTCCTCTGTGTGAAGCTCACACTGAAACAAATTCGTTAGTTCCAGTGGGGCCATATTACTTTTGTTCCTTCTGTTTCCATTTCTGTTAAAGCACAAATTGCATCTGCACTACCTAGTTGCATCAGCTTGGTGATACTTTCACTCTCGTGGCGCTCTCTCCCATGGACTCTTGGGGTTTATATTCCGCTGAGCTACTTAAAAGTTCTCTGCTACAGTTAGAGGGATGCACGAGAGCTCTCTATCACTGAAATGTAAAGATCTCACCAAACTACAAATCCCAGGAATTCACAGGACAGAGTCGTAAAAGTCAAAATAGTATCAAGTTGATGCAACATGGCGCAGTGCAGGGTTGCCCATGGAGTATTAAGTGAAAATTGGTATTTTTGTTAGGAATACCCATATAGTCTTAAGCAAAATCCAGTAGCTGTCCAACTTCACTGAAGGATTTTCACAAAGGTAAATCATAGTTATTTGACTGATTGATTGACTGATTTGTATCCCACCCTTTCATCAAGGAGTTGGCTTGATAGAGGGCTTTTCCAAAAGGTTTTGAGAGTTGTGTATACATTCCTTCAGTAATCCCTACAACAAGCTTGCAGTGTAGTCTAGACTTAATATTATCCCAATGTTAGAGATAGATAAAGGGGCCCAAACAGTGATTTGCCTAAGACTAGACATGATTATGTTTAGCTCTCAAAAGATCTCAGACTTACCTTATTCGTATTGGTTTTGTGGATTCTGATATTTCTACTCCACTGTGTTCAGTAACAACAACAAACATGACTATCTGTTTTCCATCGGAAGACAACGTTATGTATTTAATTCGCAGAAGGAGATTTTTCCACACCTAGAACATACGGGGAATCTATAATCATCAATATGTTATTTATATTCAAAACATTTGTTGTCTCATTGCTTGCCTGTTGTTGCAGTTCCCTTGCCCTCCTGGCCACCTATGTAGGAGCATTTCTTCTTGTGTCTTAATGGGCCATTATTGGAACTCCAACATCAGAACATCTGCCAACGAAAAACATACACACAACACACAACATAATTTTATGAGTTGTCCCATTATAAGTTGTCCCATCTGGATTGCACATCAGTTATTTTGCTAGAGGTTGATGTAGATCTCAGTGTAAATATGAAGAATCCTGATTTTTTTTTTTACTCTTCTGTGATGATAAAATATTTTTCCTTGAGGGAAAGCAACACTTTCCCCCTGCAATCAATGGAATTATTACCTTAGTATTCTATTGTTTAAAGTTCAATAGCCTTCCTTCAACTAAACACAAGAAATGTTTTTGTCGTCATGTACTATATATACTCTTTTGTCTTTATTGGTACTTAGGGTCAGGAATGCATCCAATCAATTCTATCCCCTCCCCCATACTAATCAGCTTGGAGAACCCTTTGAACTACAATTAAAGCTCCAAAACCAACTTGTTGGTGTTTCTGTTCTTTCATAGTTCCCTGACAGATCTCAGAACCATTACAGTTAGAGATGGGCATGAATCAGAAAAATTGTGATTCATTTTGATTCATGATTTGTCAATGTTGACGAATCACGAACTACAAATTTACATTTTTTCTGATGAATTGACTAATTGATTTGTCAATTCATTTTTTACTTTAAAACCCTATATGATGGCCCCCAAAGTACCAAGAGATACCAAATTCACAGGGTAGTTTCCCCTTACATACCTCTACCAGCCTGAAAAGTTTGGTGAAGTTTGGGCTTCATATGTCCATGTTATGCACCCACAAGTAGCACACCCCAGGAAAGTTCACCCCAAACACCCAGAGACACCAACATTACAGAGAAGCTTCTACTGATTCTCCTCTTCAGTGCCCCACAGTTTGGTGAAGACTGGGTTTCAGACATCAAGTTATACACCCGCAAAGTGGTTCGGCCCCCCCAGGAAAGTGCTCTTTATCAACTGACTCGGGGAAACCCAATCTGTACCAAACTTGGAAGGAATAAAGCCAGTAGAAGCTACTCTGCCATTGTTTCTAGGTGCCTGGAGGGAACTTTACTGGGGGGGGCTCTTTGTGGGTGTATAACTCAGACATCTGAAACCCAATCTTCACCAAACTTGGAGAGATTATAGAGGAAAGTCAGTAGAAGCTTGTCTGTAATTTTGGTGTCTCTAGGTGCCTGGTGGGAACTTTCCTGGGGGGCTCTTTGTGGGTGTATGACTCAAGACATCTGAAACCCAATCTTCATCAAGTTTGGCATGATTGTGAGGGAGCATAAAAGGAAGTGTTCCTCTAATGTTGGTGTCTCTAAGTGCCTGAGGGGCCATTTTATAGCTTGGAATAAAAAAAAATCACAAAAAATATATTTATTTTATTTTATATTAGGAATTCAGTAAAGGGTACAAGGGGTGAAAGGGATTTTAAAAATCACAAAAAAATCATTAATTTGTATTCGTTAGGGCATTGATTTGTACAAATACAAATTGATGAATTAGCAATTTTGGAATGAATTTGGTGATTGGTTTTTTACTTCGTACTCATCTCTAATTACAGTAGCTGTCCTTTCATGTCTGTACAATAAGCTGTCATAGCCTTTGACAACAAGAGACTTCATCAGAAAAGTGGAAACCGTTTTTCAAAAAGGTGGTGGAGAAGAGGATGGCAGTGGTTGGTGAAAAAAATGTCCTCTGGGAATCAAAGGGATGTATTTAGGAATATGGTGCAATACAACAACCTTCACAGTATATTTGATTGAAATGATCTACTCACCGCTTCATGCATCTTGGTTAAGGTTGTTATTGTCTGCAATTGTGGATGCCATCACAAGGCATTGAAAGAGAAGCATTCTGCTTGCCCAGCCCTTGAGTTTCGGGTTTACTCACGGTACAGAACAAGACATTACCCCTGAAAATAAGAAGATAGCATATATGACAGAAAAGACTGGTGCCCATCTCATTGTGCTGGATGTTACAATGAATGGATTTTTGCTCAAAGTGACAATGCATCACAGGGTCATTACAAAGCAGAAATGACTTGACAGCACATAACATGCAAATCATTTCTGAGAACAGTGTTACACTAAACAAGGAGCAAATAATTGGATGTAGCTAAGTTAGTCTGCTGATACCAATTAACAGAGCAGTGAGATTCAGAAGAGAGTTCATTCATGTTTATTTGGTTTTACCTGACTGAGTTCAGGAACCAATGCACAAAACAGTTCAGATGAAAGATGTTGATTTCATTGTTCTATTTTAGGACTAAATCAAGTTAGAATCTAAGGAATTGGGGCATGTGCCCTGTTAATAAATCAGTCGGTGACCTGTGCAAACTTATGCATGTTTACTTGGAAATAGGTTCCATGATATTCTAAGCCAAATGCCTAGGTATCTTTGACAGGAAGACAACCACGTTGATATACAAAAGAGGCAGGTATTTACAGGCAAAACTATATGCATATTTTACGATGGTGTACCATCAAGAAAATTTTGACTTACAGCAAACTTTTTCAGAGTTTTCCAGATACTGAATACTCAAGAATGGTTTACCATTCCTTTCTTGGGACTGTGCAGCTTGCCCAAGGCTACACAGGCTGGCTCTACTTGCAAGAGACACAGTAGAAAAATGAAACTCCCAATCTCTGGATCTGCAGCCAGATACCTAAGCCACTGAACTATCCAGCCAGCTCTTGCAGTATATCCTACTACATTGTGAAACTTACTTTATGAGTAGACATATATTAGACCAAGGATGGATTGGGTGTCAGTATAACCTTTGCTGCCTCTTAACAGTGCAAAGTTATTCAGGTATGTAATTTGTATATATGGTCTGAAATCATAAAAACTAAGGCATCTTTACCCTCCCTTGCCCTGCAAATCTCATTCACTTACTAGATTTAAGCCAACTTCAGAGCAAAATCTGAACACCTTGTGCCATAAGAGCTAGAATAAAATTAATTGATTAAATTCATTTGAAGGACAAATGAATTTGGTTTTTGATCCAAAGGAAATTTCTTAAAATGTTTTTAGGAATAAGCTTGTAAATGTCTGATGGGAGTGTGTAGCCAATGTTAAAAATGTGTAAAAGTATACAATGCGCAAAGAAGAAAATAATATAGTTATTTCAGTGCCTGGTTAAATCTGTCTCAAGGACCATAGTTTTTGATACAGAAACATTTACATTAAAGTATTTTAAAAGAAACTCTTCAGAATAGAAGTACTGTGTTTCCCCAAAAATTAGACAGGGTCTTATATTAATTTTTGCTCCAGAAATGCAGTAGGGTTTATTTCCAGGGGATGTTTTATTTTTTTTCATGTACAACAGTCTGCATTTATTCAAATACAGTCCTGTCATCTTCTGGTTGCTGCACAAGGGTGGAGGGTGGGGTTTCACTTAACTAGGGCTTATTTTGGGGGTAGGACTTATATTATGAGCCTCCTGAAAAATCATCCTAGGGATTATTTTCAGGTTAGGTCTTATTTTCTGGAAACAGGGTATGTGTGTGAATGAGACTGAGTGTGTGTTTGAGAGAGAGAGAGAGAGAGAGATTTGAGGAGCACATTTAGAGCAGAGGATTACCCCAAGTTTAGGGGTTCTCAGGGAAGTAGTTAACTTTCCAGCCGGAAAAGTTTTGAACTTTGGCACATGCAAAAGTTATATTTGTTTATCAGATTCTTCTTGGTTTTCCAGACAAAAAGCTTTCCAAACCTAAGAAATAAATAATAAATAAAGAAAGAAAGAAAGAAAGAAAGAAAGAAAGAAAGAAAGAAAGAAAGAAAGAAAGAAAGAAAGAAAGAAAGAAAGAAAGAAAACAACACAACAACACAACACAACAGGGTGAGTTTGCAATGACTTTACAAAAAGTCACAAGCGAAGGAAGCAGAAAGAGTCCAAATCCCAAAAAAGAGCTGGACCCGCAGAGTAAACGAGGCGAGAGGAGGAAGTGCCAGGCCCTCGCGAACTGGAGAAAGGAGGCAAACTCGCGACCGCTCCCCGCGCCTGCACAGTCCTTGCTCGCCAGCATCGGGCCCGGGCCACTCTCTATGGGCATATTTGGCTTTGCAGCGAGCAATTGCGGTCGGTCGTAGCCGCTAGTCTGGAAGCCTGACGCTTTGGGCCGTTAAAGCCACTGTCCTCCTCTCGTCCTGGGAGGCCCCCTCCTCCTCCTCCTCCTCCCTCCTCCTCCTCCTCCACCCCGCCCCCTTCTCAACCCAGTCGGTGGACCATTCTCTCCCCCCCCCATCCCCAGCCCATGTCCTTTCAAGCCTCATGGCTGCCTTTATTCGAAAACTCAAGTGCCCGTAAGTAAAACTTCGCGAGGGGGGGGGGCGACAGAGGAAAAAGTGATTGAAACTGACAAATCCAGGGAGACAAATAATCAATAAAAGCCCCTTTCGACATCCTTCATTATTTTCAGGCACTAACAACGAGTATACTAAACCCTTGGCTAGAAGGGGGGGGAAGGAAAGCTGGCGGGGGAGTCCATTCCCCCATCTAAGCCTTCGGGAGAGGGGAGGGATCCCCACTTCCTTCAACCGGATTAATAACCTCACCCCATAGAAAGATCTGGTCTTCTCATCAACTTGCATTAAAATCATTTTAACGCGGCTGACCCCTCCCCCGGAAGATTGTCGTGCTTTGGCCTTCATTATGGAGAGACCAGGAGGGGCGACAGGCTTCTGAGGTCCCCAGATCTTCTTGGACTAAAGTTCTCAGAAGCCTTCACCACTTGCTGTTCTGGCCAGGATTTCTGGGAGTTGTAGTCCAAGAACATCTGGGGGGCCTGGGTTGAGAACCGCTGGAGCTAGTCTAAGGGCGGGGAGGCAAGAACAGAAAGGCGAGCCAGTCCATCTGATTTCGCTCTAATACGAGTCAGCCCTTGTCCGACCGCGTCCCCCTCTGTCTCCCCAGCCCCGTTGGACGAGGGCTGACTGGCATTAAAGAAAGCAAGCTACAACAGAGAAGGGCCGCATTTCCGAATTGTAGAGAGCCGACGAGTTCAGGATCTCCGAAAAGCCTTACCGTGACTAGCAGCCCCTGTTCAGGTCTTGCGGGACTCAAGGCGGTGGCTTCCTTAGGCTCATTCCATCCATTGGTTAGTCTTCCGCTCTCCCTGCTGCTTTCCGTTGGTCTTTTTCGGGGGGGGGCGTTCTTCTCTTGACATGTCCGAAGTACCACAGCCCCCTGCGGCTGTAGGCTGAGGTCTGTTTGGGTTCTTCTTTAACCTCTTGGCCCTCACCTGTACACAGGAAATGGCATTCTTTCTAAGTAAACTAATTTAGAAAGCAGAATTTTTAAGTAGAATTTGTCGTTCGGTATTTAGGATCAGGGAGGAAGCCAATCATAAACTGCCCAGAAAGCTACAGACTTCTCTTACTGGAAAGAAGTCTTTTGATGATGGAAGCCAGGAAGTCGCGCTTCTGGATTCATTGGTAAAGGTGAGATGCTTAATAAAGTCCTGAATGCACGTCAGTGCATGAACAAGACATAATAACGTGCGCTAAATCTGAAAATGCACGTGTACTCTTCTTGTCATAGTCATACGTTCATAAACAATATTTATCCACGTACAGTAGATGGAAAGATAAAGGCACCATGAAACAACTTCTATTAGAGTTTTTTTTCACTCTTGCAATAAATCCTTTGAGTTAGAGGTAGGTCTCAAACCGTGAAACATCCTCCAAAGCAAAGTGAAACTGGATTGAAGGGACCAAATCCTATGTACATTCCTCCCAGCGTAATACAACATAATTATATCGTTGCAATTGAATAACAATGAGCCAACTTCCTGGTAGATATGCACGGGATTGAGATGCTGTCTCTCCTTCCCCTGCTACTCTTCCTCGCGGGCCCAAGTGAACTGTGATCGGGTTGCAGTCAAACTGACAGATCTCTGCACAAATGCTCCACTTACTTACGTGGGGACCAACCCAGTAAGCTAAGCCTTAGATCCAGGTCCGAAATGCAAAAGTAGAGCAATCAGACCTCCTTTGCTTGGTCTAGGAAGCAGAAGACGGTGGAGAAGCCTACGTTTGGGTATTTGTTTGACTCTGTGTTACAGACAGCCAAGACAAGCCAGGGGAGATGGTTTTCACAGATCACCCACCGACAACTGCCCATATAAGGGTTACCTTTCGGAGTTTGTTGCAGCAAAATCAACAAGGAGTTCGGGCCCTAGTCTAGGAAAACGCGGTATTCAAAAGGTGGCCCGACCGAGGCCCCCACCCGTGTTCAAGCACTTGCAGCTTCTCATGAGGAACATCAGTGGAGGGGCCGGGAACCACTTTCACGGGGAGTTTTCCCATTGGGAATAATTGGGAAAGTTCTCTTATGAAATAATTCAGATTTACTGTGCCGCCTGAGAACGGGGCCAGTCCGTGAGGCCTCGGGCAAGCTGCAAGGTGCACCCCCAGAAGAAGGGAATGGGAACCCACTTATGTGTCTTCTCTGTAGCTAGAAAACTCTTGAAAGGGTCGCCATAAGTCAGAATAGACTTGAGGGCGGGCGCTTTTTCTTAGTTTATGGCTACCTTCTTTCCTCCCCCGACCCCAGCAGGGCTACAACCGTCTTAACCGGGTCGATTGGGCTTCCCACGGCTTGGCTTCCCCCCCTTCCCCCCCTCCCAAGGAAACAGACGTGGCCTTTTCCGGGGGCTGCAACGCCTTTGACCTCTTGCTTCAAGGCGGTCGCCTGGCCAGGCAAGGCGGGAAGCCAGCGGAGCCCCGCACCCGTCCGCGACCGGCTCTGGGGTGTCGCTCCGCATTAACGTCTGAGCGATCAGTTTTCCACGGCCTGCAAGAAGTTGGGCCGGGCGGCCTCGTGGCTGCAACGGGCGGCTCCGGGCCCGTGGAGCCGCGTGGATGACGCGCCCTGGCACATAATCGATGGGGAGAAGTCAGCTGTCAACGGACCCGAAGCGGCCTTCAGACGCCGACCGTAACGTGATTTGGCACCTCCAGGTCCGCGAATGGGCAGCTCGGGTGTCCAGGACGGCGTGAGGAAGATAGGAGTGGAGGGCTGGGGGCGGGCGGACGGACGAGGCGGTCCGGAGGGACCCCTTTGGGCAGTTCAGCCAACAGTTCATTGTTGTGCCCCCCCACCACGCCTTGCTCTCCAAATCTTGGCCAAAGTTCTGGGGCCTCATCCTGTTTGGACGTTGAAAGAGCTGGTTACCTTTTAAAGTGGTTTGGCAGCGCGCACCTGGGACTTTCAGGAGGAAGGTGCGCCCTTTCAAAGCCATGGATGAGGGCCCTCCCCCCCCCCACGGCCTCCTACCGCCTTTCAGACAATTCCTGCATCCAGACATCAACTGATAGCGGCTGGATACACTGTACTTGTTAGGTCTCCGGGGAGTTCACTGGGGCTCTTTCGGTTACATTTCTGATCCTCTTGCCCAACTACGCAGCCCAGGATCCTATAGGATGGAACCTTAGCCGCGCTCCCAACCCGCTAGAACGCTGTGGTGTGGATGCGTTTGTTGCCAAGACCCGCCGCTGCTTTCGGTGGAACTTACTTCCACGAGCTGCGGCATCACTCTGAGACATTTAACTAGAAAGGGTGGTGGCGCTGGTTCCTGTGCTGATCTTTAAGACCAAGCGCGGAGAGCAAGAATAATGGTCTCGGTGGTCTTGGCTGGGCAAGAACTTGGGGCAGACATGTGCGGGCCCCCAAACGCAGCAAAGATGGCTAACGCTGTTTAGAAATGAACGTGCCTTGACATCTAAAGATGATACCACCACCCTAAAACTCAGGGTCTGAAATCACCCACCTGCACCGGAAGTAGTGGTCCCCTAGGTCCGCATCCTGGAACTTAGGAGCTACCTCCAAGTTGTTTGCCCCATCTAGAGTTTGACCCACTGAATCAAGAGGGCTTACACAAGCGCTGACCTGACAAGTCCCGGTCATTAAATATGTCTGCTCTCCTCGGGGCTAACCATTGAACCCAGCCCTTAGATTCCCCCACTATGATCTCAGGTCCTCAATTTGATAAATCTAGTTTCCAAGGAATGATGGGCTTCGACCCCTCCTCAGCTCGAGAAAAAAAGGTCCAATCCACTTCATTTATCCTTGATTAATTAGTTTCCTGTCGTGGGATGGAAAACTGGGAGAGAAGACTCTTGCCACCTCCTATGGTGCACATATTCAGAACATCATCGCTTCAAACAGGACATGAAATCTATACTGTACTTCAATACATCTGTGAAGATTCTCAGTCATCCAGGTGGGGTTACGTGGAAGTTGAATCATGGCAACTGGACTTCTTTCTTATCAGGTTGAAACGTTTCGCTACTCATCCAAGTAGCATCTTCAGTCTGAAGAAGAAGAGGAGTAGCGAAACGTTTCAACCTGATAAGAAAGAAGACCAGTTTTCGTGACTCAACTTCCAGACTATACTCCAACACTTCAGCCTTCACTCATTGTGAAGATACAACTTGTATGGAAGTTTTCTCTTCCTGAATTTCTACCAGTCCTGCGGTCGTTAAAGGCGCAGAATTCTATAACAAATCCGCAGATTAAGTTTCTTATGAGTAATCCACATTCGCGAGTGCAAGACCGCATTCTGACCAAAATCGAATTTTAAAGAGGTTTTAGTCCCTCACAGAGGTCAAAAGAGGCCCGACCCACCGCTAAATGAAGCCGGACAAGGCTTGGCAGGAGAGCGAGGAGGTTTCAATTAAGACCCTTCCAGACAGTAAATCCATTACTTACTCCGGAATAAATGGCATCCCCAACAGTTGAGGGATGCAAAATCGGGGTTGTTTGAGGATTCGGCTGGTGCCTATTGGAGTCCTTGCAAACCCCGGGAGTCGAGATTTTTTTTTTTTACTGATATTGCTTTGACTCCTTCATCCGACGTCGGTGGGTGATGGATGGGTAGAGACGGGCAGCCCTCGGTATAAGGTTGCTGCCTTTGAAACCGTGATCCGGAGAGCTTGTGGAAAGGAAGCTGGGCTAATTCATAGTTAATGCGCTGTGTTCAGCGGGCACCTGGCTGTTGTTATCTGAATATTTAAAAGCACTCGTGTTCGATGATAAATTTATGAAAAGTGAAGTGAACCTCTGGCTAGGCGAAGCACGCCGGAGGAAAGGCGAGGTTCTGATTGGCTGAACAGACACGGACTTCCGGCAGTGGATTGGCTAGTTAGCCTTGCCGGGAAATGCAACGCCTAGAATCCCATTGGCTGGCATTCCTTCTACTGGAAACCCCTTCCCACTGGCCCGGCGAGGCAGAGAAGACCTCCAGGAGGAAAGGAGGGCGGGTGGAAGCCACGCAGGGCAGGAGTTTTCACCAGTGGTTGGTTCCCGACCAAGCAAAGTGCCACCAAATGGTGGGAAGTGATGCTGCTGCTGCTTGCCGCCCCCTCCCTCACGTTCTTAAAGACTGGGACCTCATTTCATTGGAGCTAAATCCCCTCCCCACTAAAGCAAGCCCACTGAATCGGGGGACTGACGTTAAGTGTCCTCATTCATTCAGTGGGTCTACTCTAGCTAGGAGTAATAATTGGGTTTAGACTTTATTAGGAGACCATCCTGTTTGAGCTCCGGCTGTTCTTGGGGATGCTCACTTTATTTATTTATTTTTCCAAATCAAAGCATCTTGATCCTGAGCAAATGGCAGGTCTTTTTTCCTGCCTATTGGAGTGGAGCCTCGCCCAAGCCCGATCCTGAGTTCAAATGTCCAAGCGCACAAAATGTCACTCATTGGCGACCAGTGTCACACCGCTGATTACCTCCCTGGGCGGGCGGGCGGGGGGGGCATATTATTTAACCTCAACCAGCTGTTTAAGCGATGATGGCCCTTTCACATATCTGATGTTGCCCTCCTAGTGTGGACTTGCCCCGAATTACCGGGGCTAGCAAGACTTGGTTTTGACCACGATGCCAGTTGTTACTCATCTGTTGAGCGACTCCCAATGTGCGTTAAGGATGGGTGGCCTAGTCGTGAGGCTAAAGTTTCAGCTAAAAATTAAATACCCTAATATTAATTTAAAAAAAAAAGGTATCCCATCCTATTGTTCCTGAAGAGAAATGTCACAAGGAGCGCTTCTCCTTTTTTTTAAACTTCAAATTGGGAAACTCTCTCAGATGAAAGGGCAACTTCTCTTTGGTGGAACTGCAGTTTCATCTGATCATATCTTTATTTGATTGTTGCCTGAACAATGGGATCCTGGAGGGAAAGAATGGAGGCATTGCGTTGCAGATGATCCTTTGATTCTGACAGGAGGAAACTGTTGCGCGTTTATCAGACTAGAACTGCCCAGAAGTGTGTGTGTGTGTGTGTGCTTTTTATAAAATATATGTGAAAAGTAATCAGACGATGGATTGCATGTGTGTGCGGAGCTATGTGTGGCGGACTGCTCTTAAGTACCACTGTGTCTTCAATCCCCATCTGGATAACATTCAAGCTTCTCCTTCGGCTTACAGTAATACACTCTGCCAACCTTGAGACTCTCTTCCTCCTTCTCTTCACCGCCACCCCCCCCGGAAAAAAAAAAGAAAGAAAAGCAAAGAAGAAAAAGCAAAAGGATTTAATGAGGCCGAGCTTAGACCCTTCTATAATTTAGAGGATTCGCCGGAGCTGTAAAATGACAATGGGGACATGTGTAGTGCGAGAGAGGTGAAATCCCATCCAGGGACCAAGTTGCTTATTTCTGAAGGAGCTGTCATTTCCAGCAGGGGGGACACAATGGCAAGGCCAGGAGGGACGGAGCTCTGATCTCCACCTCGGAGAGAGATAACCACCTGATTAAAATGGGCCTCTTGTTCTCTCGGTTACCCGATCGTCGTGTGAACTTGCCTTACTTACTATTCTGGGCGACGAGGACTGAGTCTCCCCAATTTCAATACCCTTACCACTCACGTTTCACCCCACCCCACCCTTCTCTCTCTCTCTCTCTCTCTCTCCCCCACCCCGCTTTGCTTTGCTTTGCTTTGCTTCTCCTTAGGCTGAGCGTCTTGGTCAGACGGTCTCCGCCTGCAGTTAGGGCGAAGTAAAAAAAAAACAAAACCCTTTGAGAAGGGGACATAAAACTGTTCCGGAGCCACCGCCCACCCGTCAAGGCCGAGCCCAGCTCGGCCATCAAACCGGAAGGCAGACATCAGCCTTCCTGAAAATGCAACAAGGCCTTTTTTGTTGTCGCTGGCCACGGGTTTGTCTTCAGGCGGCTTGTTCCGGCTCCTCGCGAGTAAACTTTGGCTCATTCACTCCTAAGATGCTTTTCAGGTCCCAGCTTTTGAAGCCAGTGCGCTCACGTCCCAAGAGGCTAGCCTAATCATCTTTATGGCATTCAGTAGAGATTTACTCCCATGGAAGTGCATTCGGAATTAAAAGCTCACACCCACACACCCGCTCCTGCCACGGGATCACGATCCCAAAATATTTTTCAAACCCCCGACTGCAGTAAAAAGTTTTGAGACACTCTTCATAAAATGAAGGCAGGAGAGTTCTTTAATTACCTTTTGATTCAGGGTTAGCCCAGTTACAAGTCCCCCGGATCTCTTCATACTTTTACTTGGAAGTAGGCTCTACTGACTTGAATGGCTGCCATTCCCAAGTAGACACAGGCAACAGCCCGATCCTAGGCCTGATTATTACGAAGTAACAACCGATCCTATGCATTACTGCCCCGAAATAAATCTCATGGAGTCTCAAATAAGAATATGCGGGATTTTAGACATCTAGGGAGCTCACACAGCGCGACATCTTTGGGATCTGGCTGTTGCTTAGGGCGGGATTCTTTCAGGACAACTGCCCTTTCGCATCACATGATTACAACTCAATTCCAAACAAGGTTCCTCAGAAACAAATCCCTCTGTTACTTGCTTTCCGTTCGGGTGGTGCGGTTGAGTGACATTGGAAGTCGCTTTACAAACATGTACACCAAGTCTTTTAAAAGCAATCCCCATCTTCGAAATTGACGGATCTAAACAAGTTACTTGGGAGGGTTGGAGTTTTCCTTTGGGGTTTTTGTGGGATTTCCCCCCCCCCCGGTTTTTAAGGATCTGGATCGTTGCCAAACCAAGTGTGGAGCAGCGACAAAGAATTCAGACCAAAGAGGAAATTGAAATACAGTTCCATCTCTGTGCCCGCTTTTCCTTGGCCTGAAAAAAACTTTATAGGATGCCGAAATCCCTGCTTTGTTCCCAACGCCCAACCCCCCACCCCTTGGGCTCCCTACTTATCTCATCGCTTTTGTGAGCTGGTGACGATTCTAGGAAGCAGTTAGTGGAACCAGCTAATTTTTACAAAGAAGAGAGAAGGGTCTGCAGATCCACATCCCAACACTTCAGGCACGGCTGGACCGGTTATTAGATTATCTTCATAAAGGATCGTTTCGCTTTGGATCCTCGTATCTTTTTCTGCGCTTCTGGCTTTTCAAGGAAAGAAGCCAGCGAGTTGCACAGTTTAGGACGGAAAACTTTTCCAGCAGGCTAGCAAGGGCAGAGAGAGCTATTATCTCTCACCGCCTCCCAATCAGCAAGTTCCTGGAGGAACCTGAATCTATCTCCCTTCTTTGTGCTTTCGCAGTCCCTCTTTCCCCCTCTCCCCCCCCCCCACAATTTACTCCCTTCTCTCCTCGGGTGGTTTTACCTCCACTTCCTATAAAACCCCGGGTTTGCTTGGAATGAAGCGGCCTTGATTTCCGTAGAAATCACTTCTAGGTGAAGTGGTGCCTTGATATGCCCGTTTTTAACACACGCTTTTGTCGAATGCCTGCTTCCAAGAAAGTTTGTGCCGAATAAAAGGGCTTAGCCCGGCTATCAGAGGCGGCGAGAGGGTTTGGGTGCCACAGACTCTAGGTCCCGGCGGGAAACCCCTTCTCCCCCCCCCCCACAACCAGCCCCGCAACAG